CCGGGGGGCGGGGGGGAGGCGGCGCGCCGCGCGGGCGAGAGGCGCCGGGCGCGGGGCCCTTCCTGCCGCCGCGGGCTCGGGGGGCGCCGCCTTTCCGGGGCCGCCGCCCGATCCTCACAGCCGGCGAGCCTGGGCGCAGAGGCGCACCTGGAGCCGGCGCCGCCGCGCCGCCGCCATGCCTCGCCGGGCAAAGTTACTTTCCGCTCGCCTGGCTCCGGCGGCGCAGCTGGGCGCCCGCACGCCCCCCGCCGGCCGGCCGGCCTTCCCCCGCCTGGGAGCCGCCCACTTCCTCCGCGGACCGCCGCCCTCCTCCTCCTCCTCCTCCTCCTCCTCGGTCCCCCGGCCCCCCCCCCCCCCAGGGAGATCCTCTTGCCGCGGGCTTCTTATCGCGCCGCCGGCCTCCCGCCGACCCCCGGCCCCTCCCCTTCGCCATTCACAACCTGCCTGCCGCCCTCTGATTGGCTCCGCCGCTGCCTTGAGGCCTCTCCGCCCCTCTGCCATTGGCCAAGGCAGGCAGCAGGATTTGTATATGGGGTTCGGCTCCCCACTTGGCTGCCCGGGAAGATGTTGGCTGTTCAAAACTGCGCTCCCTCTGCCCGCCCACCTGTGCTCTCCGTTTATTCTGCTCTGAGGCATGCCCCACCAGGGCAGCCGTGGAAGGAAGCCCGACCTGTTGGATCCCTGCCTGCCGTGCCCTTGCTAGCAGTATAACCTTGGGGGGAAGCGGCAAGCGTTGTGCGAGCGGAAGGCCCGGTTGCTTCAGTGGGTGGGCCAAAGGGACGCCCTTCAGCCTGCCGTCCTCGCCAAGATAAAAGCCCCGGGGACTCGATGCCCCGTTGCATCTGATGCCCCCGCATTCGTTGGCGTTCGCTACACAGGCTGCCGCCACCTTCGGATCGGTCCGCCTGAGTTTTTTTCCTGAATCAGATACCCTCCCGCCCAGGCATGCATGGATGCTCTTTTCCAGTTGGGGTGTCCTTAGGAGACAAGAGGGACCCCGCTCAGCGTGAGTCTTCGGAGCATATGTAAGCCAGCATGTGCAAATGCGCGTTTTTCTTAAAGCCACAAGGCTACCAAAACAAAACATGCTGCATTGGCCCATAGGGCCAAGGGTCGGCTTGGCAAGAGACCCCCAGAGTCGCTCCCCCCTCACTGTTGCAAGCTACCCCAGGGAAGATGTTCAGGAGAGAATCCTCCATGTCTGCCTCAGAGTCTCAGATGGGGAGAGGCAAACCCCGGAGGTCTTTCCCTCACAGCCTTCTCCTGGCTTTCCCAAGGCTGGCCCCTCCTGGAGAATTTCACTTCTTATATTTATATCCCACTTTTTCTTTCCAAGAATCCAGGCTGGTTTATATCACCTTCCTCTTCCTCTCCATTTTATTCTCACAACAACCCTGTGAGGTAGGTGAGGCTGAGACTGGCCCCAAGGCGCCCAGGGAGCTCCGAGGCTAAATGGAGATGAGAACCCAGATCTCCCGTGTTGTCCATCCAACAATCTAACCACTACACCACACTGTCTCTCCAGCTCTGGACTGCATAGTCAGTCAGCTAACATAATCCTCCTCCACTGCTTCCTCCCAACAACCTGGCAAGGTGGGCTTGCCTGAAAGTTGGTGGCAGACCCAAATTCACACTGCGACCTTCATGGCCTGTTGGGGCCTAGAACCCACATCGCTCAAGTCCCGCCTTAGCACTCTCGCCACTACAGCCAACTGCCACGCACAAATAAATAAATACAAATTAACCTTTTTGTTTAATTGCTATTTTTAAAAACTAGTATTTTATCGTTAACAGTCACTGTTTTTGTTTTTGTTTTTATATACTCTTTTACAGAATTTGTTGTTTTTTTTTGTTTTTGTTTTGTTTTGTTTTTAATTGTTTGTGTTGTGAGCTGTCCCGGGATGCCGAGGCATGTGGTGATGGCATACAAAAGTTTTAAATGAATGAATGAATAGCATCTGGTTCTTCAGACAGCATCTCCTTTCCAATCAAGATGCATAGTTTGTTTGTTTTTTAAATTAGGCCAACCCAAAGCCCCTTCAAAGCATTCAGGCTTTCGACTTCTCCAGATCGCTTTGTCAGACAAGATGCCACAAAAAGTAGGCTGGAGGAAGGAGAGGGAGGTCGGGCATAAAAATGGGGAGGAAACAGCTAACGGAGCTGATTTCTGCAGTCATCCAGCTGCTCCAGTTCCCACTCCCTCCAGCCTACTCGGAGCAAGTCAGCAGCAATGGACTGCAGGAGACTGTAAGCGGAAGAGTGGCTTGTGCCTTAGTGGGAGCCATGCGATTTGTACCTGTGTCCCAGCTCACATCTGTCCGTATAAGCGAATCTGCTAAGAGAATGAGAAATTCGTCCTTGCTCAACATTTCAGGGTGCAGCGCATCCTCTCTTGCCAAGAAGGAGGTTTGCCTTCCCGCTGTCCATGCCTCACCAAAGTGTTGTGTTTCTGTTTTCACATTAAAAGAGGGAGGGCGCTTTGGAGGTGCCAGGGCAGAAGAGAAGGGTGGGACGGGGTGGGACGGGGTGGGGTGGGACATCTCCAGCAGAATCCAGCATGGTTCCCCCACCCGCAACTTTTCTGATCAACTTCAGTGACCATTTTGAATAAAGACAGGAAAGTTGCAGGCTGGTATTTCTGTGATTTGATTTGTCCTTCTAGTATTCAAGGTATTTGTGGCGTCGTGCCGGGGAGGGTGGGGTGGCTGCTTTAACAGGATATGCTAGGCACTGAACTGGGCCTTATACAGTCGTGGTGCACTCCAAATGGTTGGACTGCAGCTCCCAAATCCTTGATCTTTGCCCATGCTAGATGGAGCTGATGGGTACCAAAAAAAAAAAAAAAAATTGGCAGGAGCAGGGTCCAAACATCTACAGGAAAGTAGGCAAATGAGACCCACTGTATGGCTTACGTCTCATTTGTATAGTGTTCATTCTACTTTTGTTTGCATGAGATGCAAAATTCTGCTGTCTGAATGTGGGAAAGTTCAGTGTGGCTCACAGCACCATTCCTCCCGCTCTGTTCTTCCCCATCACTTTGGTTGCCCAAGCTTGATGAGGGGAATGAAACACTGATGGGACAACCCAGCATCCACTGGGCAGCGTCTCCATGCCGGGCTGCAGCCTGAGCGCGAACGGAGTTGTCCAGGGCGCAAACCCCACCGCACACTGTGTTCAGCACCACTGACAGCTCCTCAGAAGTTCTGGCTGCGGCCCAGAATGGAAGCACTGACCCAGCAACGGGAGCCACCGCCCTCCACAGCTCCAGCTTGTCGGCAGCAGCGTTTATTACATGGAACCATGCAAACCAACGCCTCCTCTGCCTCCTCTGCCTGCACCTTGTTGGGATGAACAGCCACAAGGCTGTGCATATGTACAAGCATACCATTTCACACTCACAACACGCACACAATTGCAGGCACAGACCATTCAGCCAGGTAGGTCTCGCAGCACAATTGCAGCTTGCAGCAGTAGAGCAAGTATACTCTATACAGGTACTGGGGAACATGGGTGAGATGGTGCCTGCGGGTTTCTGGTAGGCTGGATGGCCTCCGTGTGAACAGAATGGGGGACTGGGTGGGTCCACTTTGTCTGATCCAGGCAGGCTCTTCTCCTGTTATGGTGCTGTTACGTTCTTACATTCGTGTGCAGTATTATTTGGAAATGGCAAAAGAACCACCAGGAGACGCGTGTGAGTTTCACAATGGCGCTGTACCACAGCACCACCTAGTGGCCATGCATTGGGACATATAAAAGGCAGGAAAAGGAAGAGAACATGCTGGATCCACCTTATCCTGTAAAATAAATCTGCGGAAGTGCAGGTGGGACACCTTGCAAAGAGCCGCTTGCTTGGTGGCAGCAGGAAGCAGCCTCCCTTTTTGCAGGGTTGTCTGAAAAGGAGATGCTATCTCGGAAACAAGAAAGCATGGATTTGGAGAGGAAGTAGCAGCTTTGGAGAGGTTGCGGGGAGTGGGGAGAAAAGGGGAAGAAAGGGCCTTTATTAATCTCTTCCCAGATTTCCCATGTTAGTTTGCTCAAAGCTGATGATGGAGTGCTTTGTAATCAGGTGGCACCCGTACGCAGGTTTGGTTAATTTTGCCTGCGCCACATTTGGAGCAAACCAACCTGACGTTCCCTTCTTAGACTAATTTGCCTCCTGGAGCAGACGCTGCAGTTCGCCATATTTTGCAAAGCCAATTTTGGCTCAAAAATTGTGTACAAAAAAGAGTTTATCCTACAGCCACCAAGTCTTGTCTGGATGCATCATTAGAGTATGGATTGTTTATGTGAATGTATATATTTGAAACACAAGGGTCTCTTTTTATTAATGATGGTGAGGGTAGATATGGTCCTTTCTTTATATCTATCTCCTTTTGCTTTTGTTATTATTCAGAATAAAAAAGCAATTTTTAAAATGTGGGCCTTAGAGGAAGACACATCCAATCTGGGCTGTTGGGTGAAGTTGCACATGAAAAGAAAAAGGAATGTTTGTGGGTTTGGTTGGTTGCATCAAAGGCTGATGCCAGCATTGGGTATCACAGGCTTAAAATTAAATACCTGGGGAACTGAGAAGAAGCAGGCCATGGAATGATCTCTGTAACCCACAGGTGATGGACTGAGCATCGCCATCGCGTATCCTCAGGTGGAAGCGGAGGGTGCAGATGTGGGACTTCATGAAATCCAACTCTGCCAGTGGAAGTAAAGCAAGCCCCGGAAGGGTGCCCTTTTCATTCCGATCAGGCCAACTGTGGGCAATACATCTTCAGGCCCATTTCTCTCCTGGGGGGCTGTTTTGCAATTGGCAGCAGTAGGTGCTGATTGCTGCCTTGGTATCTTAGC